TGTTCTCAGTTATGATGCTTGACTCAAATCAATCATTGTCTTTACTGATATGAGAGCGCATTGTGGGCTTTTTAGCCATCTTTCTCTTTTGCTGGCTGGGGCTAACACCACGCCAGTTCCAGCGGCCATGTTTCCCTTTGGTGTGTATGTGTGTGTATGTGTATGTTTGTGTGCATGCGCACCACACCTCTCAAATGATCAAATTGGGAAAATCCAGGAGAGGCCATTTCCTCAGAGGCTTCTTAAAAGTGACCAATAATGTCACCCAGCCCTTGTGACAAAATTATGCCTGTCTTCATTACTGCAGTGTTGGCATGACATTAGATAGAGGGTGTTATAAATCATTATTGAGGAAATGGCTGAGAGACGTTGAGGGCTGGGCCTCATGACCCCATCTCTGGCCCCCTGCCACATTCAACAGCCCTTCTGGAAAAAATCACAGTCCTGTTTTTGACCAGCAGGACCCATTTGACAAACACTATTGCTGGAAGAAGAACTGTCCTGGCCTAGCTTTTAAGAATCCCCCTGGGAGCGTTTTTCTGGAAAAAGAAAGAAAAGTCGCCTTCCTAATTCAGCCAAGGGAAACTACCCACAAGCCCAACCAGCTTGCCCAGTGCTTCTCACAACCTTTTTGAGGCGATGTGGGTCTTTAGACAGTATGCTGAGGGATGCAGCCCAGAAAGGAGGTAGACGGTGCAAAAAAACTGGTAAGCAAAGAAACCCTTCCCCCAAAATCAATTTCAATATTAACAATGAGTGAATTAGTGCATAAGAGCATTTCTTATGAACCTAATGGGGATGTGGTGACATTAGAAAAAATACAAATTCAGCTGAAATTTTGGAAGGGGCTCTGAGAGCTCTACTCTCAGCCCTTCAAGGTAGACTGGACTAAGCAACCAAAGTTATACAGGCCAATGCTATTTTTATTGTAAAATTGCAGTAACAAAATCTGGCAAGTCTGAATGTGCTTCCCTCCCTTTCTCTTCATGTGCAGTATGGAGGGGCTTGTCTTATTTATGTTAATTACTTATGTAATTCTTTTACTTATGTTAATTCTTGCCCTGGATCTTGGCAGCAGTTCTTCCTCTATCCCTGAAGGCCATTTCCTCTACATCTACGCCAAGAATGAAGGAGGTGGAAACTGTTCCTTCCTAGCCTGAAAAGATGATTTTTCCTGCCAATTTCCATTAAATAGGGGTTTGGGGATAAACCTATAGACTCCAAATCCTTCTGGGGACTTCACAAGATCAGAGAAGCTGAACGTCATGGAGAACAACACAGAGGCACCCACTGCACTGTAACCCTCACTTCAACACACACACACCCATATTGTTTAGTGGGGATGCTCTTGAACCTACACATAGGTAATTGCTGTTTAGCAACTGCCTCATACAGCGACTGTTCAGTTATGACAACGATGAAAAAGTAACTCTGGGACCAATTCTTGCATTTACGATCTTTGCTGAATCATAAACCAAAGGAAATCTGAAATAAGATCATATACATTAAGTGGTTTCACTAGCAACCACTTTGCTTAGCAACCAAGCTACTGGTACCAACTGTCACTAAATGAGGACTACCTGTATCTCCTTAAAAAAATACTTCCCAAGTATCCTCTCCTCTAAGGATCCACAGGGTACATTTTTTTCTTCTTGGAGAAATATTTATAGAAAACCAGGATGATATACCTTAGTTGGTTAAAATCATAGGCTGATCAAGTGATCTTACCATTTACATCTTTCTTCGGCTTTGGAAATTCAGAGTAATTTTGGGTCTCTTATTGTATCTCAGTTTCTCACATTCAAATATAACTGTAGGGGAAAAGGGGAGTGCTATACATACCACCCAAACTCTTAGAAGAAAGGTGGAAGTTAACCCAACAAATTGATTATTTGCCATTGACTCTTAGTGACCACAGAGATAGCTAACATCAGCATTGCTTTAAAATAGCAGCGAGACCGATGCATACTGCTATGCTTGATATACTGCTCAATTTATTTATGCCAGTTATCAGCTGGGCCGCTGCAGTTTGGACCAACTGCAGTTTCAAACTAATCTCACAGACTGTGCGGCACTAGTTTGGCAAAATGTTGACAGAAAAACCTGCATTTTGAGGTAGGAGAGAAAGGGGCCAGGATATTTGAGGAAACACCTTATTCCTATGGTTTCCATTGATTTGGGCCAGGAGGGTCCCATCCTTTAGGGAAGGTCATCTAATTCAGAGGTCCCCAACCCCTGGGCATGACCAACTACTGGACAGTGGCCTGTTTGGAACCAGGTCACGCAAGCGGTGGGCGAGCGCATGCATGTGTGCGAAGCTTCCCTTGCACGAACGGTAGCTGCTTGCACTGCCACGCAAACTCTCCTTGCATGAGTAGCTGCTGTTTGTGCTGGTGCACAATGCTCCCTTCATGCGAGTGGCAGACACCCGCCATTTGTGCATGCCCGCCTGCCACTCACAGGGAACTATCCCCTCGCCAGGTTGCTCCAAAGCTTGGGGACCATTGATCTAATGGGACTCAGGAAGTGTATCTTTTCCATAACTGTGCCTGCCTTCCAGGACACCACATTGCTCATGGTTCAGCTGGCTCCAACTCAGCTCACCTTTAATTGAGTCCACACTACTGGTACATTCAGGAACTATTTTGTGTTAGCTATTTTGGTTGGAAAGTTTTTTTTAAAAAAAATATACAAGTATTTGTGTTGAAGGGAGACTGTCCCAGTCAGGAAGAGAGGTCAAGCAGGGGATTAGTCTGGAATCCTTACATAGGCACAAGAGGGCATGGTCCAACCCCCTCCCTTTGAATGATATTGAGCCTTATATAGCCTTTCCCAGGAACAAACTGCCAGTTTGAGAAGAGTCCAGTGAAATAGAAAATAGAACAGCAAATAGCTAGTTTTAAATCTTCACGTGTGGATCTGATTGTTCACGCCTGACAAATTTATATTGTATTTAAATTCTTGTTAGCTGCCCAGTTGCATAGTAAGATCATATAAACTGATATAATTAAAAAATATAAATAAATGAATGAACTCTCAGGTCTATCAATCTAGTGGACTTCAATTCATTAGCTTTTATGCAGAAATTTTATTGCAAGTAACTGGAGGGGATGACACTTTTGTAATGAGCAAGAGTAGAATAGAAAGCTGCTTTTTAGTTGGGTGATCCATGGAAGCTTTTCTTCACCTCTTCCATTCTCCAAATCCCTTGGAACTGTGAATGCTTAAAATTTGTGATCACCTCACATTTAGGGCGAACATGATGAAAGAGGAGACGTCCAGTTATTGTGTTTACATGTCATGCCAAGCTATGGCGGTTTGCTGCAACATAACATCCAATAAATACCATTGACTGGATTCAAGAACATATCAACCCATAGAGCATAATTAAAACTCATGATAGCTAGGATTGCATTGTAGGGGCTACAAACCAACTAACCCAATACTGGGTTGCCCAAATGGGCAGCACTGAAAAATTATTATTCTTCAGGTCTAAATCCCTGGCTTGTGGCAACAAATTGTGTTCATGCTGTGTAGGAATGTGGAAGAGGCACTCTCAACTATTTGTGTAATGTCCTGCTTTTTTTCTAGCAGCAAAAATAGAGAATAGATTGCTTTTTCCACAGTTCTGTGAGGTAGGTTGAGCGGAGAATGCCTGGGCCAAGTTTACCCAATGAGTGTGGAACCGATCCTAATCTGACCAGGCCTAGCTAATGCAATCCTAAATTGCATTAACAGAGTGATTCAATCAAGATCATGTGAGGTACTAATACCACTCCATAAAGCCTTAGTAAGACCATACCTAGAACACTGGTCACCATACTATAAAAAAGATGTTGAGATTCTAGAAAAATTGCAGAAAAAAGCAACAAAGATGATTAGGGGACTGGAGGCTAAAACATATGATGAATGGTTAACAAGGAAGTCCACATGGCTAGTTTAATAAAGAGAAGGACCAAGGGAGACATGATAGCAGTGTACCAATATTTGAGGGGCTGCCACAGAGAGGAAGGGGATCAAGCTATTTTCCAAAGCACCTGAAAGCCAGACAAGGAATAATAGATGGAAACTGATCAAGGAGAGATTCAACCTAGAAATAAGGAGAAATTTTTTTCACAATGAGAACAATCAACCCAATGGAACAGCTTGCCCTCGGAAGTTGTGGGAGCTTCATCACTGGAAACTTTGAAGAAAAGACTGGACTGCCATCTGTTAGAAATGGTGTAAAGTCTCCTGCTTGGGTGGGGGTGGCGGGTTGGACTACTAGATGACCTACAAGGTTGCTTCCAATTCTATTAATCTGTTAAATTAATTAAACATTAGGCCACACAAATTGTAACCCATGGAACTCCGCGCCACATGTTTCTGGCAGCAAAAGCTGTCATATTTGAAGCAAACAAAATGAAGAGCAAGATCTCAGTTGGCTTTTCCAATGAACTGTGAACAATAAGAAAGGACTGGTATCCATGGGGTGTTTCTCAGAAACAAATGGTAATCAATTAGTAACCAAAAGGTGATATTTGCCCCTAATTTCAAGTGTGCATTTGGCAGCTTTACAACAGACTACTAACCGTGTAGCAATAGATCTGGATGAAAGGAAGGCTCTACCCTCCTCCCGCACCCACCCCAAAGGTTTTATTTATGAGCAATTCTTTTGGCACCTGTGCTGGGATGACAGTCTTCGCTTGCAGTCGGTAAGGACTCGTTTATCTGAACACAGCCCAGGCAGCCCTTAAGATCCACTAGGCAGCAACCGGTGGCGACTCTCGGAGCCATGAAGGAGGCTGCCTCGTAGGAACCGGGGCTTTCTCTCAGGGCCTGGGCTCATTTCTTTGGCAGCTGGGGAACGCCAGAGAGAGCCTTGCTAGCGCTAGGACCGGGCCGGCCAGCTCGGCCGGCCTGTCTGCCTGTCTCGCAGCGGGTACTCCCGAGCTCCCTCTCTCGTTCTCCAGTGGCCCTGCGGGCCGAGTGCGTCCGATCCGAGCCGGTCGGATCCGATTCTTGCTGCAGTGAAGACGGCGGGCGAGGCCTCCTCCACAGGCTGGGCAAGGCAAGGAGCGCGGAAAGAGGAGGAGGAGGATTCTTCCCCCCCCCTCCCGGGAAGGAAGCAGCAGCTGCAGGAGGAACACCGGGGTTCAAGGTAAAACCCCGAACAGGCCGGGGGGGGCGATGACATTTTGCACCGAGGGTCATCCTGCCCTCCAGTATTTCCGCCCCGGGGAGGGTAATCTGCTTTGACATGAGAGGCTGGTGCAGAGAGGCTGGCGGATGTTTCTCTCTCCCCCCCCCTCTTCCCCGCTTGTGTGTGTGTGTGTGTGTGTGTGTGTGTGTTTTTACAGGCATGCCAAAATTGCAGCAGCAATCCTGCCCTACCGGGCGCTTGTTGCATTTCCTTCCATGCACAGAAATTTCGCCTTTCTGAACTGGTGGGGGGGGGGAGGGGGAGGCTGCTGGCACGGCTTCAGCTCTTCTCCTCTGCCCCCCCACCCCCACCGCCCTTCAAGTTTGAGGGACTCACTCTTGGCACCCGATGAGGGAAAGCGGAGGGGGAGAGAGAGAAAGAGATGACAGGGGGTGTCCCCTCCCCCGCAAGGATTGGCCCAGGCTTAAATGCTCCCCCACCCCTGGATTTCGGCGAACTTAAACTTCACGTACCTTCAGGAGGGGGAGAGGAAAGCGGCTTGGCGTGTGTGTGGGTGGGGGGGGAGTGCGACTGAGCTGCCCCCAAGCGCGTTTGTGCAGGCAGGCTTTGCGATGTTTGCTTGTGTGTGTGTGTGTGTTTGTGTATGCATGCATGCTTGCATGTGTATGTGTCTGTCGGTAAATATACGTGCGCATGGGGTGGGGGAGCTTTTATTATTATTATTCATTTTCTTGCAGACGTGTTTCACCCGAGCGTGCTCTACAGCGTTATTATTTATTTAGTTTGCAAAGATGCATCGGGTTTTTTTTTTTCGTGTGTGTGTGTGTGTGTGTTTTGCAAGCACAAAAGAGACACGCGCAAAGATTGGGGTGAGGGAAGCTGCCGGGGTTTTCCATTTCCCCCCCCCCCACCCCTGTAGGAAATTCTCCTGCAAAGCGGAATGCTTTTTGCGCTCTCTCGCGAACGGAGAGGAGGGCGAAGCGGCAAAAATGGCAGCCTGGCATGACCGAAGGGGGCCCCGTGTCATCCCCCCCCCCCCGTTAATCCCTGTGCGAAGGGAGGCGTTGTGCGATCGGGATATAATATATATATATATATATAATCTACCTACTATATATATATATATATGTATAGTAGGCAGATTATATATAAATATATTATATCCCTACCTACTATATATATGTATAGTAGGCAGATTATATATAAATATATTATATCCCTACCTACTATATATATGTATAATCTACCTACTATATATATATATAGTAGGTAGAGAAGCTGAAGGAGCGATTCTGTGGGGCTCGCGGGAAGGACACTTCGGAGGCTGCGGGGCACGGCTGGGCGTTGGGGGCATCGCCCCGCTTCTCGCCTTGCCGCGCGCACACCTGTAGAGCTGGGACCGGGCACAAGGGTGGTGGTGGTGGAGGGCGGAGGCTAGTGCGACGATCCAGCCTCTCCTTGCTACCCTTCGCTGGCTTAAGTCTCTGGTCCCCCACCTCCCCGCTTGTAAAATGGGGGTGGGTGGGGGAAGGAATGATTCACAGAGAGCAGGCGTTTGTTTTGCAGGCACTTTGCATTCACCCCCCCTCCAGCCCCCCCTTGAGCGGCCCGTCCAGTGCGGGAGGCTTCGTTGCTTGGTGCAGGTTCGGAGGCGGGCGGGGGGGGGGAGGCGCTGGCTGTCACTGTTCTGTGCGGGGGGGGGGGGGGGGGGGGGGGGGGGGGGGGG